CGTTTAGGTAGCAGAAACACAGACAGACTCACAGTCAGAAACACGCCCCACCTTGACCACCGGCCCTGGCTCTGCTGCCCGGACAAACCCTCCGCACGGTCGGGTGGAGTTCAGCCGGCCTCGCCCTCTGCTCCGGCGGAGTCCCGGAGCTCCAGGAGGGTGTGTCGCTGTCTCTCTGCCTGTTTTACCTCCACGATATAAAACGGGTTGGCAGCGTTTATATATCTGCTGGTGTTGAGCCTACTTTTCCATGCAGCGCAGTGGAGGACGAGGCGCAGGACTTCAGCCCCTTTTACACAACTCCCTCTCTCTCTCTCTCTCTCTCTCTTTTCTCTCTTCTCTCTCTCTCTCTCTCTCTCTCTCTCTCTCTCTCTCTCTCTCTCTCTCTCTTTCTCTCTCTCACTCTCTCTCTCTCTCTCACACGCGCGCACACACACCCGGCTTCCCAGCTCTGATCAGCTGGCAGCGTAATGACGTAGCAGCCAGGAGAAACGGACGTCAGAATGTGCACGAATCTGACGTGTACACGCCCATGAAGCAGCAGATTGACCTGTTAGTAATACATCACGCTATTATACATCCATGACATCACGCACATAAAGACGTAAAGCGAGTTTTATTGTCATTTAAATGCAGGTAGACCTGTAATACGTAGCCTAACATGGTCAAAAATAGGAGTAAAACACTAATTACACACACGTAATCGAATTGAATGTACATTTGCAGCAGGTCATACACGTCTGTATAAAAAGAAATAGCAGTTAAATGTATCCTAGTGGCAGAAAAACATGTCAAAACTAGTTTTAAGGCTTTAATTGGTGGTGTGCTAAATGCTTAATAAATGTATGTGTTTTTATTCATTTCTGCCGTTTATGGGTGCATTGGTCCTCAAAGTAGATTAATCTAGCCATGTTGGAAATAATTAAATCATGTTATGTTAAAGTAAAACAGATTCAGGATGAGTTTTTTGTCAGAGAAGCTGCAACGGTTTCAATTAAACCTGTCACAGCAGAAATGAGTATCTACGTGGCCTCCACAGACATCCGCAAGTCAAGATAAACGTGTTACCCTCTCTCTGAGACACTCTCACAATGAGGACGGTGGGGTCAGTTTCCTTTCTAATGTCTCCCTCTCTCCTGTGAACCTGTGCTCCTGCAGCTTTAAGGTTGCTGCACTTTGAGAAGCTGCTTCCTCACTGTCACCTGACACACTGAGCACACACTGTTCTTATTATACATCCATGGCACACACAGCAAATCCTCACAAGACCAAACCCACTGGCTCATTCTCCTTCCTCAGTCTGTTTTATAACACCTTCGTGTTTACTTTACAATAAATTCATTAGATTCTGAATATGTTATGCGGAAAAAGCACCAGACAGACCTTTGTTTCTATGAAAAAACAGCTCAGTTTTCACTCCACTTGTGGTAACCTTTATTTCTGATTCAGCCACGACTTCCCTTTTTAGGCCTGTGTGGAGGTGGAAGACATTATGAATCAGTGATTCTCATTATAACACTCATTTTATGTAGGATCAGTATTGAAAATGAAGGAAAGACAATTCACAATGACACTCAGTGTTGTTTGGTATACTGATCTTATTTCCCTCTAGAAAAGTACCATTTAATATTTGTTGACATTGTCTGCAGTATACATACTTGATAATTTGCTGTCATTAGCTCAGCAGCCAAATAGCTGGTTAGGGTGTAAATGGGTTTAAATCTTTGTTTCTAATTAGGGGCACTGGCTGTACATACCCTATTCCTTTGTTATGTAACTTCAAAAGTAATTTTGTTTGCCCTTTTTAGGTGGCAGGAGTGAAACATAGTCATCCTTGTTTTGTTCTGTTATGGTTTCAGTATCATGATGACAGTTGGAGAACATTCAAATACAAAATAGGACACAACAGGATGTTTTCTTTTTCTTTTGGCAACAATGACTAAGGACCCCCCAGGTTTGGGCAGAGCGCGGGATGTTTGAAACGTCTTGCTCTGTCACTGGATTCAGGAAGCTTGCATGTGAACATTCAGCAAAAGAATAAGCTACTACATTAGTTGCACAACAACCTGCTTCAACATGTAATATGATCTAAGTGCACTTTGAAAACGTTATGTCACAACTGCTATGCATATCTAGAGTGCCTGAGAAATACCAGTAAGGTTAATCTCCCTTCTGTAAAACATTCACCCTAATTCGATTGAGATTTCTTAGGCTTTAATTGCTAATTCACATGCAAACTCGGCGTGTTTGCATAAGCTGTTGTTGAGAACTGTTTAAGCAGATGCCAATGCACTTTCTGCTGCTTAAGACCTGTTTGTATAATAATGATGAGGTGTGTGTGAGTCACATCTCCCCCCCCCC